GTTATGAACAAACACTGCAATCCATGGCGCACTCCGTTCAGGGCGCGTGACTATTCTGTTCCCATGTTACAGTATCAACCGTAAACAGGAATCCAGTTGTGTAAAAGCGCCTCGGTTGTTAATCACTGATAAGACGACCCCTGGTCATCATGAACTTAGTCCTTCGGCATCTCCCGGTAAACTCGGATGGTAGCGTTCCATGGAAGAGAGGCAGATTGTTCAGTTTGGTTACTGGATGAGGATCTTGGATAGGCATCATCTAGGTGCGGCTTATTTCAGTGACCGGAATACCGAGTGTGAGGGCCGAACTAGCTAGCTGTTCTACAAGCGTGCAAGTACGTGCACTGAGCACCGATAACTTAGACGATATGGGGGAGTGAGAACCAACCGATAGTTAGTTAACATAAAAGAGCTGCCAACTGTCAGTCTTCATTCAGAGGGATTACAGTATGTCCACAGTATGTTCATATTAGATCAACAGCACCTAAATTATCAATGTTTAGGAAGGTGTAGTGCATTAAAACCGAGTTTCTATTAAAAAATCGTTCAGCTGTAACACCTTTTAGGTGCCTATTTGTGATGCCACCCGAAGGAAGGACTGAGAACCTGTCACGTTGCCCAAGACTAAGCAGGAGAAGTCGATATGTAGAGGCTGGTTCGAACCATTGACCTTCCGGCCAGTAATTTCGCGCTCTATCTCGACCTGGAATAGTTAAACTCTTGCGCTTCTTTCGAGTTCAACGATTTATTTCACTCCACTACAGACTAACACAATATGACCAGAAGACCCAGGGGTATGATCCACTGATCAGAAAGTTCAGCTGCCAGACAACAGGATTCTCACCTAGTTTTCCCCCACCAGTTTCCCATTAGCGTGACTACCGCAGGCCATCCGGAAGCCTGCGTAACACCAGATAAGACCTAATGGAGAGAGATCTCAGTACTTTGCAATTACACCTTACCTGAACACAGAAGAAGTAAAGGTAGTTGTGTATTCCACAGTAATAGGCAAATCCAAATGCAATATTGGTCAAACCACTGAATAGCATTCCAAAAGCAAGAAAGTGACGTAAATTGATCCGCTCAGCCACATAGCCACTGCAAAGATTAACATTTACATGCTGGTGGCACTTCTCATTGTTATTACCTTATCACCATGGATACGGCATATACCAGAAGGTAGATATATTCCAATCCACCAATAAGCTGACTCCAATTCTCTTGATCTGGTGAACAGCAGATTAATGTTCAAGAAACCCGGTATACCTACCGAACGGCTTCCACCCAATACTCTTGTCATCAGCGTTATCCCCGGAGAATTCGGCTGCATGCAGGACACCCTTAACAACACTGATGGGTTTTCGCGAGGCATGGTAAAGAGTATAGCACAGGAAGGTCAGGAGCAAAACATATAGTGCATGTCTGAAAGGCAGTTGTTACACAAAATGGTTTGCCGTACCGCGAATAGGAATCACGAAGAATTAGTGCTCGTAGACAAGGATATCCAATAGGAATAGACACACCTAACATATCGCTAGGTCCATTTCATGCTCTACCACACAAACCCCTAGAAGGGAAGAGAAAGTGCGGCTTTACTTTGTTCATGGAGGTACAGGGTGATGCTTCAAGCGATACACATATGGTAAACTTCAATTGACCGTCCGAGGGCCTTCCCCTCGGAAATTTGTGAACAGCGTTCACCATCAGTTACGATTTAGGGTGCGAGCCCCGTCCCAAGTGGGCCACCTTCAAGACGGGCAACATACAGTAATCTCACAAGGAGAGCATGCTAGCCTCTTTCTGTGAGGAGTTCTTCACACTGAATAGTGGCTGGTGTGGGACACTGCTTTGGTTCTTCATTCACTATCTCCTCTCCACGAGCTTCTCACCTAAGTCCTTTTAATTCATTTGGTCGTCAAATATCTAACAGTTGCCCCGTATCTGGGCTTGTGCCCACTAGAATGAGTCAAAACAAACCCTTATTATACTCAGCTGGTCTAAAAAATAATAATAAGTTGTTCAGCTGAATTACCCTTTCGGTGCCTAACTGCTATGCCACCAGAAAGGAGCACGAGGGCTGGGATACAGCCAGGTTGCCCAAGCCTAGACAGGGAAAATCGAGAGACAGAGGTCGGGTTCGAACCACGGATCTTTCTATCAATAAATTCGCGCTCTAACCACTAACCGGATCTACTCCACATTGTTGTCTTCAACATCCGTACCCTCTTTCAAATTGATAGCAGTCCTGGACTTATAATGGGCATTCATCTCGGTCGACCGGTATGTCCTCCTTGATACGCTTGCCAGCAAAGAAATTCATCTCGATCGACCGGTAAGTCCTCCTTGATACGCTTGCCAGCAAAGAATGCCCCGGAAATTTGTGAGCATAATAAGCTCTTTGTATTCTCAGACGGAAATTTGTGAGCATAATAAGCTCATTGTATTCTCAGACTTTCGGAAGTGTGCCAGTATACGAAGGGTGCTTTAAAACTCCCGTCCACAGAGCGATATCCGTCAACGTTGCGTCAGTATACGGAGGGTGCTCTAAAACTTCCGTCCACAGAGCGATGTCCGTCAGGGTTGCTCATACTCTCCATTCTCGCTTAATTTCCTGATCGACGAGATAACTTAACAAACGCTGGAAGGTCTCCGAAACCCTGATATTCAAACAGCTGCTGACGAAAACCTTGTCAATCTTGAATATGCAGACATCGTTCTCATCCTGAAAGAGGAGGAAGTACAGGTGTTTTTGGATGACTTGGCGAAAGTCATCACTTCTTTGGCATGCGTTTTGCACCCTCATAGTATGAGGTTTTGCTCGTGGACATACAGTCACTAAACACGCCGCTTACAATGCAGGGAGAGATTCGAAGTTGTGGAGTGTTTTACGTCTGTTGGATGCTATTTTAGTGTCGAATGTAGTGTGATAGATGAGGTCAATGCAAGAACCTGCAAGACCCAGGCCGCGTTCGCTGATTTGAGACAACTATGGCGTCAGAATGGTTTATCCCTGAATCTGAAGGGACGTGCGTATCAAACTACAGTACGGGCTGCTTTGTTGTACGGCTGTGAGACTTGGCCTATTCGAGCAGCGGAACTGAGAAGTTTTCAGGTGTTTGACAATCGTTGTATCAGAACCATAGCTCGTGTGAGTTGGTGTCGGCAAGCCCGTAACGAGGCAGTTAGGAAGCGTATTTTCGGTTGTGTAACGGGTACTTCCATTGAAGAATGTGTCCAGCACCAGAAGCTGCATTGATTGGGACATGTGTTGCGGATGCCGAACCATCGTTTGCCGAAGAGAGTGCTGTTTTCCAAGCCCCATTCAAACAGAGAGGTGGCCAACCCTTGACTTGGCAGAGGAGTATGAAGGAGATCATGAAACGCTTGGGGGCTATAGGTGCTACTCGCCTTCCAAGATGGGGACCGCGTGATCCTCAGTGTGACTGGTTGGAGACACTACAAGATATGGCTGCCAACCGATGTCAGTGGCGTTCTTCTTGTCAGTTTTCATTCGGATTGCCTGAATGAGTGACTGGAGGTGTAGGCACCTCGGAATGGTTGTAGTAAGCTAGCGCTGAATCCTTTCCCTTACCACCTTTATGCTTTTCTTCACAATAGAGCGTTCAAATAAAACATGGTTGTACGACAGCGAAGCGTCAGTGTTGAACACTGATGTCGTGCTGTCGATGATGTTGACAATGTGTCAGCCTCAGACTCCATGGATAACAGCTGTGACGCTTGGAAAGAGCTTCTAATGGGATTTGATGCGGTTGCCTCGGTCTCCAATCTGTAGAGATATCGCGATTCTGACGAGTGATGTAAATGCTCAGGTTGGCCGACAAAGTCCTGATGAAGCACAGCTTGGCGTCTTATTCGGGTTTGACGCTCACTGCACACGTAATGGAGCCCGATTTTTCTAGTTATGGGCTGAGCATTACTTATTGCTAGCCAACACATACTTTCAGCATAAACATTCACAGTGTGACTTGAGGGCCACCAACTGCAAAGAAGCCGTGAATTCAGTTGGACCGTGCGGAAATCGGCTATCGGTGAATTGTCGCTCACTTTGGAATAAAACACCTGACTCCAACCACGGCGTTATGCAAGCACGTATACCTATTCAATTCTCCTCTAGAATGCGTCTGTTGAGGTAAGGACATTCAGTTCAACACATGAAAAGCGTCTTCGTGGTTCTACAATACGAGCTGAGTTGGCTAAGAAGCTTCCAGAACTCGACGAGCATAATGGTAATGGTCATTTGGATGACCGTTTGGGAAAGGTGCAAGAACCCATGCTCACAGCCTTTGAAACTTTCTGCCAGAGGTAGCTCGCGAACCCCAATGAACACGATCCCGTTACGATCGGCAGCCTTGACTGAAGCCAAGAAAACTATACCAGCAAT